TCAAAAACATATATAAATGTAACAATACAGAGACATACAATCTCTGCTATTACTCTGTTCATGGTTTTGGTGGTTTGAATTATTTTTATATTTTAAGAATCACAGACTGTAATATTTTATGTGGATGAGGTATGCTGTGATTGTAATATGTAGATGAGGCATACAGTGATTGTGATATTTTAAAGTTTCAAACTTTCTTTCTTTGGATGAGACATGCAGTAATTGTAATACCTTTTTAAGTCATTGACTGTAATACTTTCATTTTATTTATTTATTTATTTTTTGAGGAAGTGCACAAGTTGAACTATGTTGAAAATTTATAAAATTTTAAATCGCCAAACCACTAATCCGCTCAATCCACATCCGCCGGATTGGCGGACGAATGCGGATTGATTTCTCCAATCTGCCAATTTGGCGGACGGATGGCGGATTGAAGGTTCTGTGGACGCAACCGACCCGCGCCCACCCCTAATTTATAGTTATTCGATGAAGTCAATTTTTTGCACGAATGACCTTCATTGTGAGGTCTACGAGATAGACGGTTCGAATTATTAGTGCAGGTTCAAATTAAAATCCATAAAAAAAAAAGTATGGAGAGATGGAGTATAGAGGGGAGCTTATCCATTCAATTTCACCTTTAATGATATGGAAATAGGAGACTTAAAGATAATAGAGAGAAAATGGGGAGTGTGAAATTGTTTCACACGAGTCTTAGCCACTTAGAGGATGTAGCGGGACTGAAAAATTATATGGCAAATTGCATCAATAGTTTCTCCATAATTTGTTTATAAAACTAAAGTGATCTTTTATAATTTTAATTGTATCTTTTTATTTTTAAATTTTTTATATTGTATCAATTTAGTTTTTTTTTTTTTATTGGTATAAGTCAATGATTAGTTGTTAGATTAGCAATTGGGAGAATTGAAATTCACACTCATACACCTTATAAGAAAATCTTGTCTCTCCCATTCTACTCTTGAGGAAATCCAAGACTTCCCCTTCTTAGGAGAAACCTAGGCTAAAGCTCCTTGATTATCAATTTAGTTTAATTGATTATGCTCCTCCATAAATTAGAATAAAATCAATGAACAAAATAGTATATTAACTCTTTTTAAGGTAATTGAAGGATTAGAGTCAAACTTAAAATGATGATTTCTATTTTAATGAATCATTTTATCCCTAATTTATACTCAATTTCTTAACAAATATTATCAATTGGAGGAAATTGACACAATGTGAAAAATTAAAAAAATAAAATTTTAAACTATAAAGTCTAAATTGATACAAGAAATAAAATTAATTGAATTATTAATTGAAATAAAATTTTGATATTATTAAAAATTATTAGTTAACTTAATAACTTATTAATAAAATGAATTATTTATTATGAAATGAGAAATTTCAAGAGATGGAACATAAATTGTAAAATTATAGAGGACAAATTATATTTTAAGTAAATTTTAAAAATTTAAATTATATAAATGCAAATGAAAAGGTGAAAGCACTGTTGCCCCCTTTAAGGAGTGCTTCTTGTTTTTTTTTTTTTTTTGAACATGAAAAAAAGGGCTCTGTGGTGTCGTCATGGCCCCGTTGGGCCCTAACCCCGGAGTAACCGGTTGTCAGCCAGAAATTAACCCCCACTAAGTGAGGGACCCATCACTAGAGCACCAATGGAGCGCGAACACACGCCACAGCAGTGGACAAGTGTCGAGAGGATTTATAGAGCGTGTTCACCGAAGTAATTTCAAACACTCCCTCCCTAGGAATCGACCCTGGCACGCGACTGTGAAATGCCCCGCATTCTCCACCAGGGCACCAACCCTGGTGGTCCTTTAAAAAGTACTTTAACCCTAGATTTTGGGATACGTATCTATTCAATGCCCTTTGTCTTTTCTTTTTTTTTTTCTTTATCTTTTCTTTTTCTGCTATCCATTTCTTCGCCGGAGATTTCCCCCCCTTTTTTTTTGTTTTCTAAAAACGTTTTCCTTTTGGTATTGATATCGTGCGAGAAATCACAATTCAATGATGTCTTTATAAAATAATTACAGATTTATAAAATTAAAATTCTTAATATTTATAAAATTTATTACTAATTTAAAAAATAAATAAAAATATAATTGATGATACAGTTATGATACGACGGGTTCCTGGTAGAACGGGTCAGACTGATCCACGCTTCTCGAGCCAATATCTGAGTGGTCAAGCCCACCTGCGAACCTGCACAAGAGTTCAACGGGGAATGGGGTGTCCCCCAGCGAACCCTCCGACGAGCAAGTTAGAGAGAGGGAGAAGTGGAATGTAGAGATATGAATTAGAGATAGAAAGCTTAGCCTTCTTCTTGTCTCCAATGTTTGCTTATATCCTTTGGTAATCATTTCGTTATCCCGTCCTATCTGTCACATTGGCCCCAAGTCTATGCTGTAGCTTACCTTGTTCAGGGTGAGGGCATGCCGTCCCGACGGAAAGGTGTTGTCGTAATAAATGCTGTGAGAGGCTGCATTAATGGCGATGTGCAGTGACAATAACTTTGCAGATCTTTGTCTGATGATGTGGCTTGCCCTTTACGTGCCACGTGTCTGAGTATCATTGGTCATTCATGTCATGTTGATTTCCGGCTGTGCTGGGCCTTATCAGTTGGGTTATGTCTAGGGCCCTAAGTGGTAGGCTTGGGTTGTTCATAGTGGGTTATGGCCTTTCTAGGCCTAACCACATCAATAATAATTTCTCCAATATTATCTCAACGTTCAACACTATCAAAAACCAACGGCAGTACTCGTCGGGGCTTTTTCGAAAATAAGCTAAAATAGCAACTTATTTTTCAAACTACGCTTAATTTGGACGAAATTTCCAAAATAAGTTAAAACGTTATTACAAATCACGCTTTCACCATATTTCTGACCCGGTTGCGAAAAATTGATAAAATCGTAAAAGAGTGGTCACAAACCACGCTTTTAATTAAGAAAGCGTGGTTACGAACCGTGCTTTTAAGGAAATCTATTTTTGTGAAGAAGGCGTGGTTAGAAATCACGTTTTTAAATAAAATTGTTTTGTAACCAAAACATAAGACAAGTAGGGAGGTAGTTCAAACGGTAGTGTGCTATACAGGGTTCAATTCCTCCCATCTCCAAACTCTTGTTTTTTTCAAATTCAATTCAAATTTTTTTTTTCCTTCCACTTACTCTATATTTTATATATTTATTATGTAATTTTTTTTTTATCAAAAAAAGTAAACATTTGTTTGGTTAACTAATATTTATATTAAAAATTATATTTATAATAAATGACATGAGTTGTGAAGATATCATACTCAAAATCAAATATCAACCGTTTGATGGTAACCATGACTAAGATTACATTTCTCGAACGGTGAAGATCTATAGTTAAGTATGATAGAATTATTAGTGTGGTAATATTATTAGAGGTGTAAGATAAAATGTATTTGTTTGTATACTAGTTAGTAGTGTTATGTATATTATAACAAATTAAGACTCTGTTTGGTTTGGTTTTGCAATTATAATTTGGTTATAAGTTTTGAAAAAAGTTTTTGAATTTTAAATTTTGAAAAAAGTTTTGAATTGTATTTTGAATTTTAAAATTTAAAATTTTGAGTTTTATTTTGAAATTTTTTAGATTTATTTATTTAAATATTAAAAAATGTTTAAGAAAATTTTATTTTTTGTTTTAAATATATAATTTTTATTCAAATATTTTTATCTTAAATATTTTATTTTATTTTGTAAATATTTTATTTTTTTTAGTTTTAATATTTTAAACTCAAAACATAACTCCATATTCAAAGCGTAACCAAACATATAACTCAAAATTTAATTCAAAAACTATTTTCAAAATTCATAACTAAACACATAACTCAAAATTTCACACTACTTTCAAAACTCTACATTCAAATTGTAACCAAACACATAACAAAAAAATTAAAATATTTAAAAATATATTTATAAAATAAAATAAAATATTTGAAATAAAAAAATATTGAAAATAAAAATTATAAATTTAAAATAAAAAACAAAAAATATTTTTTTTAATATTTAAAATATTAAAAAAATACAACACATAAATATTTATTTATTTATTTTAATGTGCATTATATTTCATACATTTATGTGTTATATTTTTTTAATATTTTAAATATTAAAAACTTTATTTTTTATTTTAAATATAATTTTTATTATAAATATTAGTTAACCAAACAAATGTTTTACTTTTTTTTGATAAAAAAAATTACATAATAAATATATAAAGTATAGAGTAAGTGGAAGGAAAAAAGAAAATTTGAATTGAATTTGAAAAAAAACAAGAGTTTGGAGATGTGAGGGATTGAACCCGTACATCTCCCATAGGAAGGAGCACATTACCATTTGAGTTACCTTCCTACTTGTCTTATATTTTGATTGCAAAACAATTTTATTTAAAAGCATGATTTCTAACCACGTTTTTTTTACAAAAACAGATTTCCTTAAAAGCGTGGTTTGTAATCACGCTTTCTTAATTAAAAAGCGTAATTTGTGACCCCGCTTTTACGATTTTATCATTTTGTCGCGGCTGGGCCAAAAATATAGTGAAAGCGTGATTTGTAATTATATTTTAGTTTATTTTGAGAATTCCGTCCAAATTAAACTTAATTTAAGAAATAAATTATTATTTTAACTTATTTTGGAAAAAACCCCGTACTCGTCTTTGTTGTCAATAGTGCTCCCAACTTTATGCCCTGTGGTAGGCCACAAAGGCATAAAAATAAAAATAAATAAATAAACAAAACTCCCAAATTATGTAAATGTTTGTTTCATTAAAATAAAATAAAACTAAAACATGCATTGTAAACGACATAATCATTTATTATTGTAAGAAATGATCAATATATAAGAAGATTAAAAGAATGATCATTTTATTTAATTTCATTCACTATCATTTTAGTAGCCAATCATTACCTTATAGCATGAATAATAAGTTTTTCAAATTGCGAATCTTATTGGAGATTTAACTTCTCAAGAAAATCTTTTAATTTTATTATTTTTCATCGAGATGACAAACCGAGCGACCGAAAGCGGAATCTCTTCCCTCTAAACATGAAAACCCGAATTGGAGATAGCCAATCTTGCCAACAGATGAGCTACCTCATTCCCCGTCCTTCGAACATGGCATACCATGAAGGAGCGAAACGAGGACAAAACTTGACGAATTTCCATAATAACAGGACCAAATCCAGCCAGCACAAAATCAGCACATCCATCATCTATAATAGCAACGCTGCTTCCGCCTCCAAGAAATCCACATCCGAGATCAGCCCCACCTGTTCAGATAGAGAGGCCATTCCCTGGCCCAAATTATTGCGAACAATTACGCCTAGACTCGACACATGCTGCACTCTACCCATCACTCCATCAAAGTTTAGCTTGTATACTCCCACGGCCAGAGGCAGCCAGCCAAAGAAGCCAAAGGGGGCAGCGGGGAAAGATTTGCCTGAGCATCAATAAAATCTGAAAAACTATTAAGTGCAATGGCCGCCACCTCCTCAGCTCGTCTTTGAGATTTCGCAAAAGTCACTTGATTTCGATGTAACCAAATGCCCCAACACACCAAAAACACAAGACTCAAAACTTTGAAACCATGAGATGAAGAAATCTTATTTGAGTAATATTATAAAATCTAACAAATTTTATCATTCTTCTTTAGTTACTAATGTGGTACAAATCATATCATTCAAAGTAGGGAAGAACAGAACAACAAAATATTAGTCTTGTAGACCGCGTGTACATAATAATGAACCACTTATTTATTTGAGTAGAATATGATTTTTTTTTTTTTCTCTTTCCAACGTGACAAAGTCTAACCAAATGTTCCTAAAATAATAGGAGAGAGCCTGTAAATGACAAGATATATGTAATCTTATCTCATTAATAAAAAGGTTCGAGTCAATACAAATAAGAAATGAAGAATCTCATAGTAAATCTACGTTAACAACACATTTAAGCTAATAATTAGTTCACAGTGTTGACAAATATTCAGAAAAACCAAACAGTTGTTTTACATTATAAGGCCCTGTGACATTCCCATGCCCACTCCAAATTAAATTAGCAAGTTGAAAGTTAGTCTCTTCAGTGGTATGAGCAGAGTCAAACCAGACATACTTGCTAGGATTGCTACATAACTCATACTTGATTGTTCCATTGTTTACACCACAGTTACATGCCCTGTATTGTCCACTCCCACAACATGCACTCTTCCCTTCCTCAAAACCTTCATATCGCACATCACAATTCACAACAACAAAATTATAATTATGAACATGGGTTAATTCACTTTTATCCCCTAAATTATTGTCATTTTTTTTTTAATTTCATCATTACACTATCGATTTCATTTATTTAGTGTAGAATTTCTGATTTCAACTAATGTGATCGAATTGGTGACTATTGTCTAAGTTAGTAACCGTTAAAGCTTAATTTGATGCACAAAAAGATAATGGGGGATTATATATAGGTTCTAATAAGTTGACTTATTGTTCAATAGGTTCTATGATAATTAATGACATTTTTCATGAAACACTATTAAAAATGTTACTAATTATAAGTTTTACCGATAGTTTAAAAAAATCATCACAAAAAAAGTCACTAATTTTTAACTTTTAGCGACAGTTTGAAAAATTCATCACAGAAAAATGTCACTAATTGTAAGTTTTAGTGACAATTTATAAAAACCCTAACAAAAAAAACAACACTATGTGTCAATTTTTAAAGACGTGTAAACAATTGTCATAAAAAATATTTTTAGCAATGATTTTATGAAGACTTATTTTCAATAGGACTTGATGAAAATTAAGTCTAACTATTAAGACTTATCGTTTGGAAACATGTTTTTTTAATAATTTTTTGGCTTTTTAGCTAAAATTTGATGAAAAAAAACTAGTATGTTTTGGATGATTTTTTTGATTTTTTACAAAAAGATGTGCAAAAAATAGAAAGAAAAAGGGAATCTTTCACTTTTTGGTATAGGTTGTTGGTTTATTATTTTTTTTAGTGACTTTTTGACTTCTAGGCTAAAAAGTGAGTAAAAACAATGGATTTTTTTTATTGTAAAGTGTAAGTTGTCCAATATTGTATAAGTAAAAAAATAGATGTGAGACCCCTAACTTTTGTAAACCTTATTAGGTCCCTAAATTTTGAGTTATTATAACAAAGCCCTTAATTCGTTGATTATTCTCAAATTAAACCCTAGAACTGAAAACGCATTACGGACGAACCCATATAAATCCTAATCGACCCTGAAAGCTTAGAAATCATTTCTAACACTCTAATATTAATTATTTAACTCTCAAAGTTTAGATTAATCGCTCTAAACCTTAACTTCCGATTTTCACAATTTTCGTTCGGTTATTTACCTTTAAATTCAAAGCAAGATAATACAAACCGAATTATTTTTCCTAACACTAATTTATTAACTCTAAACTTGAAATAGATACTTTAATTGAGCCTAAGCCCTCATATTTTTATTAAATCACAAATTGACCCCAAACAAGTACCATTATATATTTATATATACACTTGTATCCTAAAATCTTTTTTTAAAACATTTTATTTTACAAATTCCAACAATTGTACACAAAAAAAATATAAAACAAGTCCATCAATTCACCATCACATGGCTAGCCATCACCATTGTAGGTGCAATGAATGTACTACGAGTCAATTTTTCATGATTTAAAGAAGAAAAATCTTTGATTTGGTACAAACTTTTATATACATGAATATAAGCAGCTAGGTTGGTTTGATTAGGAGGAAAACCCTAACTAGATCATATTTATGAACCTCATTAAGACCTTTAATCCTCCACTATTCCATTGAATTCAAACTAAATCCAAACTATCCAATCCAATTCCAACCAAAGGGCATTTAGCACCTTTTGCACCAAATTCATTATATAAACAACCCCTCCCCTAACATTTTACATACAAGAATAACACTTATACACACTATATTCAGCTGAGAGAGAAGAAAGGAAGGTGGGTGAGCTTGGTAGAAGAGAGGAGAGGAAGAAAAAGTTTGCTAGCAATTCCAACAACTCTTATGTAAGCCACAACACAACTCTCTCTTTCATTTTCTTTTTTCAAATACATGTTATTAGAAGTTTAAAATGGTATTTTTATATGTGTTCTAATGGTATTCTTGTACTAAAAATGAAAGGAGTTGAACCTTGCTACCCTTCTTCTATTTTTCTTAATCGGTATAAGACTACATTTTTCTCTATCAATCTCTCAAAATTTTCAAAGGCACACCTTCACCTTAAATTTCTGAGTTTAATACATATTATTTAGCATGTTTTCATCACAAGGTAAGTGGAAAATTTCCCCTAGCTGACCTCTTTTCTCACCAACTTTCTATTTTTAAGAACTGTGCCAGAGAAATCTATTTTACAGCCACCTTACGAAAATTTGTAGAAAATGTATAAAAATATTCTGGACCTCCATTTTATGTCAAAATATTTCTTAAGGAGTTATCTTTCAAGGAAAATTGGTTTCATTGAAAACGAGTAAGCGATTTGTGAGAAAATCTGATTTTCGTAACGGTCGACGAATCTGGACAAAGTTGGAGTATTTCTGAAATAACTACAAATCTAGAAAAACTATTCCATTTCCGAAAAATGTTCTGAAAACTAGATAAAATTCCCTATGAACCATAGAAAGGCCGGGCTCTGGAAAAATCTGAAATAGCCATTTTAAGTATAATCTTTAGGTAGTACTGAATCTGGAAATTCTATTTTCATTAGTGTTTTATGCTCTTTTGTTCATGAATATGCTTATTAATTTATGATCATGTCTTGATATGATATTTCACATGTCATAGGTTTATGTATTTTATTTTAATCCTTCGATGGTGCTCACACTTATACAAATCTGGAAATTATATTCATGTGCGAATTTATTCCCTTAACTATTTGAATATGCTTAGAGCTACTTGTGCCTATCTTCATATGTGAATCTCATGTGTTGTAACTTTATTTCCTTCTATTTGTACTATTTAGTTATTCAAACTTGTGCAATAGATGTTGTTTCAAGAGCATGTCCTAACCCTGACTTAAATTATCTAACTCAAACGGGAAACTTATTGGTGGTAATGGGTTGCGAATTTTTGGACAAGATTACTAAGATATTGATTGGTTAAAGGAATGCGTTCCCAATTTGGAAGTTAAAATCTTGCGCAAATGGTTTTCAGAACCCTTAAATGAAGCGGTTGTATTCGGACCCTAGGTATTTGGTTTAAGAAGGGATTTAGGCAAGGCCCATTATTACCATCTCTTTTGAGGCCCTACGCGGTATATAACCGTTGGTAGGCATCCGAGGTTAGTTTTGCAACAAAGCAGTAAAAGAGGCGGCATACCGAATAATCCGCGTCCGATTCTTGTGGTTGGGAGGACGAAGTCTCTTTGGGGGATTTCTAGATTTCTAACATCTAACCTTGTAATCCTTTATTATTGAATGATTATCATACTTCATTACTTGCTTGTTATAATTGTGATGGTGTATTGGATTGGGAAAAAAGAATGGGGTGTGCGTGCGTTTACTGGACATTCAAAGCTCATGGCGTTTCATGCCAGGTATCGAAGAAACGTACGAAGCCAATAAAGAGTCAAAGACATTTGAAGACTTAAGTTTTCCTTAGAGAAAGTTTGGAACCATTTCGCTCATTAGTCTAATTGTGCTTTTATTTATTCTTTTTGGATTGTAATAATAATGGAACTCGTTTTAAATTTGAGACACTGTAATTATTATTTACTTTGTAATCCTATGCCTATCTTTGCGTTGTTTATGAGACCTTGCGTCAATGCCTTTTAAGATCCGTCAAAAGGGTGGTGCGCTACCTAAGAAAGCTGGACTTAGAAGGGAGGCTAACTGGACTCCTCTGGCGATCTGGGATCTTACTTGGTTATTGGCCATAGGACTCATTAGTGCCGTTTCCTAGACTCCTAACCTTAGATAAACCCTATATTTAATTGATAATATATTCTCTGAAGTTCGCCATTTTTGGGACGTCACAATAGATGTTTAGTGGTATGATTTAGGTTTTCTAAATTGTAAATTTTATTTTTCCTATGTAATTAGAATTTCACTATTAATCCAATTGGATCATATGAACTAAAATAAGAAACTCTAAGGACTAAATAAATAAAATTGATAATTCAACAATGTTTTTTAAAAAAAAAATGATAATAGTTTAGAAGATAAAGTAAAAGAAAATTTCACTTTATATTCTTATACTTTACATTCAATCCTACTTTCTTCAAGTCTTTTTAATTGTCGCAATCAACCGATTAGATTTCGAATCAAATTGCAATTAATTGGACACAAGCTTACAACATTGTTTCAAAAACTATTGGAAGGACTAAAGTAAAATTTTAGTAAAAGCACAAGAGTGTTAAATTTAAAATAATAAGATTTTGATAATAAAAAAATATATATATATAGGGTACTAAGTGCAACTAATACTATCATGTGATTATTCTCCGTTAATTTTTGAAACAACATTATACAAATAGGCTCAATTGCAATTTGACTCGAAATCTAGAGAGTTCAATGAGACAATAAAAAGTGAACCAAAACAGAATTAAATATAAAATGTAAGAGTGCAAAATAAAACTTACCCATATTAGAGCAATAAAAATAAAATAAAGTATGTTAAATGAGAGCTTACCATATTTGGATGGGTTAGCAATTCTATCATAAAGTGCATTGTAGTAATCAAAAATTGAATATTGGAACCCAGGGAGGTGGCTCTCTAAATTCTTGAGTGATTGGGCAAGAAGTGTGTTGTGTAGGGTGGCAAGTGACATGGCAAGTTGGTCACAGCTGCCAAGATGTTCAAATCTTTTGCCAGGTGTGCACCCTAACGGCCCTGCATTCTGAAATGCTATTTTCCTTCCTCCCATTTCATATATTTCCTGCAAAAATTAATCATCAGCAAAACAAAACAAACCAAGTTAGACTTCACCTTCATAAGAAATCTTATGTGGATTTTATGCTTTACTTAGTTACTTAGCATACAACTCTCCTCCTTATTTGAATTGGAAATTTACCGAGCGTTTGGAAAGATTAGCTTTTATCATAAAACCACTAAAAAATCAATTCTCAAACGAACTATATGTAAAAGATTAAACACTAAATATGACCATGTCAAAATAGTACATAATACATTTATAAGAATAATTCTTAAATTAATTTTGATAGTAACGGTTGAAGTCCCTTGTTGTCTTCTTGTTCAAAATAAAAATATAATTTCCTTATAAATCACTAAATTTCATAATATTTTAACAAATGTCGTTTGTCATAAATTAGTCAAATGAATAGAAAAATAATGATGTGATCATTTTTAAACAGAAATGCCTATTTCACTATTCATTATTTTTATGTCCAAACATCACCATTGGAAAATAAGTGTAACTATTTAAGTTATTAGCTAAAAGAATAATGTGATTATGTTATTTGACTTCAATATATATTTAAACACAAAATATCAAAGAGTAATATAGTACTTTCGATAACCTCCACTGTAGTAGAGATCAATGTATCTTCATCAAAACTATGTGATGAAATTGAACAATCTTCACTATATTTAAATAAATAAATTCTGTTTGTGTACTAAATTACAAACAGAATTCAAAAGAATAATAAGAAATGAGGGAGAATGTTTGATTACAAAAATCAAACCAATAAATAAAAATAAATAAATAAAAACAGATTTTATTTTGTTACAAAAACAAAATTAAAATTTGATATAAATAAATGAAAACAGAAAAATAAATAAACAATTTACTTTATTAAATTCTTGAACAATATTACGATTAAGTCCAGTGTTTGACACTGTGTCCTTAAGACAGATTTGTCCTCTCCACGGTGCTTTCAGAATATGAACGTTTATTTCTCAGGATAAAATGATCAATCAACGAAAAATAGCAACACTACAAATTTTTCATACAACGAACACACTAAGTGTTTATACTCTTTCTCACAGAAATTTAGATGCAGCAAAATACAGAGAGCAGTAGCAGATTTGAGGACGGAAATTGGAGTAAAAATCCAAATGAGGGACTAGTCTATTTATAGGTGTAATGGTGACTTTTCAGTTTGAATCCAACAGGTAGCAAATCTGTTTTGAACAGATACAGTACTTGTTCGGCTCTGTTTTGAACAGATATAACTTGTTCAGTTTGAATTTGAATAAATAACCGAATCTGGTTTGAATCTCAAACAGATAAAACAGTTTTTGGTTTTGAATTTGGACAGATTCGGGTCTGTTTTGAACCTGTACAAAATTTTGAAAAGGTGCAACAATTTTGAATTAAAAAATTGAAATTTAACTTGGACAAATTTTATTTTACCAAAAAATAAAATTGAATTCAAATGTTTTTGGCCCAAAAAGATAAATATTGGGCCAGACAAGTCCAACCCAACCCAACCTCACACCACGCACCTGCGCCCAAGCCTAGCCCGTCCAACTAGACAGACGGCAGCGCGCGTGTAGTGATTTTTGGGTCCAATGAAGATAAGTATTGGGCCGGACAAGTTCAACCCAACCTCACACCACGTACCCGCGCCGACCGAACGGCACGCGTAGTGATTTTTAGGTCCAATGGGTCTAGCCCATTTTGCCCATAACCTCCCTCTCTACAAAACTTGGATGCCCCTTGAGGCCTATCCCAAGTTTCAATCCCATGCCTTATAAACCCACTCAAAACTTCTTACCAAATCAATGTGGGACAAGCCTTATTCAAACTTTAAAGGATTTTCCACCAGAACTCCATTTCCATGGAGCTCAATTTGGCTTCAAATTCCCATTCACCCGATAATAGTTTCGAGCAACCAAATATACCACGTGAATCAAAACGCGGCATAGAACGCGTTACCACTTAGACCCGCGAAATACGACGCATGGGTCCCACCTAAAAATTAGACCAAAGTTTAGAAAAATTCTATTTTTATTCCCAGATTTTTCCAGAAACCATTCTAACACTGATTATTGTAAATTTTTCATTAGTACCTTAAAATTAAGGAGCAATTACATGTCAGTGACATAGATAACAAAAAATATTAGACGGACCCCACACCTTTTGAGTTACATCCCACTACACAAGGAGTTGCACACCTCATGTTTTACAAAAAATAAAAAAAAATTGATCTTCTACCATGTATTGTTCTTTTCCCTAAAATTGATGAACTCAAGACAATTGTAGAAATGTATTGATCAATCAATAGAGAAATGAACATGAGTCTTACTTGGAGAACATTTGTTAAGTTGCCAATCACCATCCCAACATACTCTTTCTGGTAGGAAAGAGTTATGTTGGGATATGATGAAGAAAGGGTGAAGTAATCATTGCCTCCAATGCTGAACAAGTAAACTGCTTTCTTTAGCAATTTCTTGGCCTCTTCATTTCCTAACTTTTGCTTCAACCACTCCTCCACCTTCTTAAAATAGCTTAATTGCTCATTCAGATCTATCTAAAAAAAACAACCACACACAGAGAGAGACTAATTAGCACTTTTGAAATAAATGCCCAAATTCCAAATCCTTTTTTTACTTACCAAAAAAGAGCTCGGCTTTTATATTTTTGGATAAATTATGAATACACCTCTTGAGATTTGTCTAGAATACTTATTACATCATGCTCCTTCAAATTGTTAATCACATAACAAATGACCTCTTTCATTAATCAATCATTGAATCAATTAATTTTATTATTATATAAAGAGTAGCTAGGAAATTTTTTTTTTTCCCCTGTTAACTCTGTTGAATGAAAATTTGACAAATTTTGACAAGAAATATTTATAATTTTTAGAATCACAAGTGACAATTCGTATTTTAAGAAAATTTCATAGGATATTTGTAATTTACCCTATATTTTTTTAAAGATAAATTTGTTGCTACAAAAATTGATGCATTTGACTGTTTTGTTTAGGTAGGGTAGGGTTTGAATTTTTTTTATTATGGCTTCGTTTGGGAAGTTATTATTTTAGTAGGCTATTTTAGTTTTAGGCTATTTTAGTAGGCTAAAATTTTTGTGTTTGGAAAGATGATTGGATTTTTTTATGGTTGGATGTGATGTTTGTGGGAGAAAAAGTGAAATGATTATGGCTTTGATGTGATATTTTGTCTTATTAGCTATTTTAGCCTATTTTGACTTTTTGTGAATTTTAGCCTAAATTAGGCTATTTTTTTTCTTTCCAAACACCCCCTATATATATAAAATAAAATAAGTTATTAAAAAAAAAAAAAGTGATACATACGGCTGCCATTTGAGGATGAGGTGCATCAAGAGCACAGGCACCGGCTGATGCAAAGTTGGTCCCGGCTGTAAAATCATGCTCACCACCAGGTTGCAGGTATGGTGTCAACATAGGCAGCTTTGCAAACAGTGCTGCATCCAATTATTTATTTATTTCTTTCTTTCTTTTAGAAGAAAAAAAGTTAGGAATTCGTAACACCTTATCATAAGCAAATTAGTGAAACACGAAAAAGTATAAATAAATAAGAATTGTAAATTACATTTCACAAATAAAATGTTTAATATTAATTATAAAAAAAAATAAATAATATTTTGCACTCCTATATTTTATAGGAAAACGACTGGTAGCTCGAAAAAAGTGGCCTGATTTTGACTCGAATAGCAAAACGACGTCGTTTTGTGATTCTTTTTTTTTTCTTCTTTTTCTTCCTTTTCTTTCTCTTCCTTTTCTTTCTTTCTTTTCTTCTTCTTCTTTGTTAAACACAGGAGAAGAACAGAGGGGAAGAGGAGGAGAGAGGGAGAAAGAGAGAGGAGAGGAGAGAAGGCCCCTCCTGTGCCTCCGTTGCCGCCGATCGTCGTAGCATCTCCGATCGTCGCAGCCCTGCCTCCGGCCTGCCTCCTCCAGCCCGATTTTGATGGCCCCCTCCCCTCCAGTTCTCCTTCTTCCTCCTTCTTCTTCTCCTCCTTCTCCGAATTCGAGCCAAATTCGAGCCTCCGAATTCGAGCTACGAATCGGGGTCATATTTTATATCAAATTTTACTTCGACCCTTACACATTAAATTGTAACAATCAACTCCTTACATTTTTAGTTAGGTGACAATGTCCTTTTTTTTTTCTGTTATTTCACTATATAAGCTTTTAATAGAAGATCCAAATTCGGCTACCTTCCCCATCATTAAGGTAAAACATCAGAAGCGAAACTATTGCTAAGGGAGACCAACCAGCGTGTGTAAGGAGTTGATTGTCATAATTCAATATGTAAGGATTGTAAGATGAGTCAAAGCAATCTTGCCGGGGCGATCCCGCAATAGTGGGAGGCGGAAACATGTTCACTGTTTCACCGATTGTACGATTTGAGGGTTGAAGGACGTGTAATAAGTAAATGATTACGAAATGAAGGTAAAGGAGGAAAATCACTCCCATATCCTCCCTAAAAACATTTTGTCCCAAATTTTACATTAAATTATGACTATATTTAGCTAAAATAAAACACAAATTATGAACGACTAAGGAGATGAAGTAGGATTTTGCAGAAATTTGAATCACAAAACTATGTTTTCTATAATAACACAGTCCTCCATCTATTCTTCTTATTCTCTCTTTGATTTCTCTAATTTTTTTTATTTATTATTTTAAAAGCTTTATTTTATTATATAACTCTTACATGTTTACATACTTACCAGGTTGAACAAAGTATATGTTAGTGAAAAATGGAGATAATTTTTTTTCTTCTTTCATTTTGTAATCACATACTTATAACATAACTAGCTAAATTTTGTTAAAGACTTAAAAAATGAAGTAACAGGGACATTAACAATTGACCAGCAGTGAAGTGTGGGAATGAAAATGAAATTTGATGCAAAATGCAGGGTGCAAACTGTAATTTATTCTTTAAAAAAAACAATGAATGAAAGGTAATGATTATGTGGATAGATCACGTACCGATGAAATCAGGGACAATACGACCATCGCTGAGTCGACCAGTGGGATGATTGAAGAAGGTTTGCCCATATGGGTAATAACTGGAAGCACCTGGTTTGCTTCCATTGATGTACTGGTTGTTTCCTGGATCGAATAGCGAGTCTCCGAACACGAACAAAGCCGATTTCTTTGTGGGTTTCACGGACTCAGTGGTGGTGGATATGACAATACTTGCAAAGCTTGTTATTATTATTAGGACACACAACTCATGAATGCTCAACTTCGCCATAGATGATGATGCTATCTTAACCATCACTCCCCTTATCACTATGCGTTGAAATTGTGACTGTGAGAAAGTAGAGAGAGAGAGAGAGAGAGAGAGAGAGAGTTGTGTGTGTTTTCTTTGTGTGTTAGTGTGTGTTTTTAGAGTTTTTTTTATTTTTTATTGGGACTTGCATGTGACCCTTGGTCGGTTTAGGGGAATTTTGAAAAAAAAATGAGCGTAGAAAAAATAATTTTAAAATAATAATAATAATATAAATTTTTATTACATAAATTTATGTATAAATTACTTGCGTGACTGTCGCTTTTTGTCATTACTTCACTATAAATTATTATTTTATTTTTTAAATATTTTTTTCATAAAAATAAAAAAAGTAACTATAAATAATACTCAAATCAAGCCTTAAATTTCTACCGAATGGAACTTTTAAGCCTTATTTGTCATAATTTAAAAAAATTAAAAAGTCAAAAAATTAAAAAGTCATTATTCTATTTAAGTCACATTATCTTATTTAAGTCATATCACTTCTCTACTATATCACTTCAAATCCAATCCATACTCAACTCATATTTTATAAAAAATTAAAAAGTACACTTATTTAAATCATTCCAAATTACTCCTTAGAATTTTTTCTATTTTTTATTTTTAATCAAGTTTAACAAAAAAATGACAGAGTTTTTTTTTTTTTTTGTAATTTTTTTGTTGGGACTTGCATGTGACCCTGATGCAGTTTATGCTATGGTTAGTTACCCTGTTACTATTCGTCTTGGGATATCATTACCTGATATTTGAATGATGTTTTAATTAGTGGAGGGATAAGACTCACGAATTTATATTGGGTGATTGAGAAGTATGAAAAGAGAGAGATTTGTAATTGGTGAAGAGTACTGTCCCTCATGAACAATAAATAATTTTTCGTCACTATCACTTTTTATCACCAATTTACTTTTTTAATCAAGTTTTGTTATGAGAATATATTATTTTTTTAAAAAAACTAACTTTTTAATTAAAATATGATATGAAAAAAATTATTCATATATTTAGAATAATTTTTTATTTTTTACAAAAAAAAGGTACAAAATATTTAATTTGATTTTTTATTTTTTTGTTAACCTTTTAATTATTTTTGTGATTTTCCAAACTTGCCATGTTCGGAGTGTTTTGTAGTTTATTTTGACAATTAAGAAAAAAGTCATCTTATTAATTTATTTAAATCCCGTTACGTTTTTATTTTTTTTTATATATTTTTAAAAATAATCAAAAAGTTCACCTTTTTTTTTTCTAATTTTCGCTGCGACATGTACACGACAATAGTTCAATTTAGGGAGTAGCTTCCTCCGGTCCTAGATTGAACTGGAGAGTTTTGTTGGTTCCGTGAAAGTTTATCACATGTCTCGTTTCGATAATCAATGTGTACAACTCGTCGAGTACTATATGCTTATCAATAATCACGTTGATTGGATATCGATAATTATGTGATCAAATCAGTTTTGTATAAAAAAAACGGTGAACAAATTAACAGTTGACAGAAAACTAATTCGATGAGATAGTTATCGATATCCGATTAACGTAATTTTTTATAAACATATAGTACTCGACAAATTCTACATATTGAATGATTTGAATTATCAAAACAAAACCATAATGAATCTCTACGAGTCAAACAACATCCTCTAATCCGATCTAAGATTAAAGGAAAGTTGCTCCCTTCAATTTATGCAATAGTACCTTGCCAGGCTGCCAGTATCACTTTTTGGCCATTATTTTTTTAATCAGTTGTACAATCAATTTATGCAATCGTACCTTGCCACGTTGCCAGTATCACTTTTTGGCCATCACTTTTTTAATCAGTTGTACAACTTTAAGGCGCAACGGTCATAAATAAACCCGACCAAAGTTACGAAAGGATACACTAATCTATATAATAAGGGAAGAAGGTTTTTGAATTTATCCTAGAAACAATTGTCCTATTAGGACATTTTAATGATTATGATTCATTTCTGTATTTAGATGGATGGCTGAGATAACCCCTTAAATATATATCAATCCTAATTATATGTCTACATTTACTTCCCGCCCAAAGAGTAAGCTTTCTACTTACCCAAGTCTCCCCTCTATTCTATCTTTATCTCTCTCCCTTCTCTCTTCTCACTTTCCACTTGCCCACGTCTCCCCTCCCTTCTATCCTTATCCCTCTCCTTTCTCTGTTCTCACTCACCTCATTCCCTCTTTATCTCTCGCTCCCTCTTTGTTCTTTTTCCCGAAACTGCTCTCCAGCCAAATCATTTGGTTGTTCTTCTTCTTTCTGAAACTGCCCAGCCAAATCATTCGGCTGTTCTTCTTCTTTCCGAAACTGCCCTCAAACAGATCACTCACTTCGCTCACTCTTCAAGTTTGTCTCGAGTCGATCACTTCGCTCACTCTTCTCAATCACTCTATTCATTATGTTTGACTGCTATCACACGGACTCTTCACATTAAGGTAAAGACTCTTGGCTCCAAATTAAGTGGGTCTTTACTGTTTGTGTTTTCTACTTTTAACAAAATATGGTTTTTTTTTTTTTCCTTTTTCATTGGCTTAATAGTATAGATTAGGTTTTTTTTTTTAAAATTGGTTATTTTGTTGAATGAGTTTTCTGGGTTTCATGAATCCTGATTGATGATGATGCCGATAATGGATTTTACAAATCTTTATTATTTTCTTGATGATTTTCTCTGCAACAATTGATCAAACTTCTTGTGTGCTTCAAATGGAACTTCTGTGATTATATATATTTTATATCGGGTATCATAAATTTATCCGCTTTCCCACATTGGGATTGTTTGGGTTATTTGATTTAACCTTCCATTGTTTAAAATACTGTTATAAATTTATTCTCTTTTCCACATTGGGATTGTTTGGATTATTTGATTCAACCTTTCATTGTTTAAAATACTGTTACTCAAAATTCAGAAAAAATTTCCTCTCTTTTTTGTTTGTTTGTCAGATTTTCTTCTTCCCGAAACTGCCCTCAAATAGATCACTCACTTCGCTTACTCTTCAAGTTTGTCTCGAGTCAATCACTTCGCTCACTCTTCTAAACTAAAGGTAAAGATCACTCTGTTTATTATGTTTGATTGCTATCACACGGACTCTTCACATTAAGGTAAAGACTCTTGGCTCCAAATTAAGTAGGTCTTTACTATTTGTGTTTTCTGCTTTTAACAAAATATGTTTTTTTTTTTTTCTTTTTCATTGGCTTAATAGTATAGATTAGTTTTTTTTTTTTTAATTGGTTATTCTGTTGAATGAGTTTTTTGGGTTTCATGAATCTTGATTGATGATGATGCTGGTAATGGATTTTGCAAATCTTTGATATTTTCTTGATGGTTTTATCTGCAACAATTGATCAAACCTCTTGTAAGCTTCAAATGGATCTTCTGTGATTATACATATTTTATAATGGGTATCATAAATTTATTCTCTTTCCCACATTGGGATTGATTGGGTTATTTGATTCAACCTTCCATTGTTTAAAATACTGTTATAAATTTATTCTCTTTTCCACATTGGGGTTGTTTGGGTTATTTGATTCCCTTTCATTGTTTAAAATACTACTCTCTCAAAACCAAACCAAACATACCCTTAGTTTTTTTGGATTAAGTCCTTATTATAATTATTTATACATTTTGTTTATTATGCCTCTGCAAAATGCTGTATTGAATTCCAAGTGTTAATTGAAGAAATTTGGAATTGTTGTTCATTTTATTGAGTATTGGAATTGCAAGGTGGTCAACTTAATTTTAGATGAAGCTGCTAAGAGGCCAACAAAAATGCTTTAGATAATACAGTGAGGTGTAATGAAAAAAACTTGGTTAGATATGATTTAAGAAGAGTATAGTTTTGCATGTTGAATGGGGTGGAAAAGATTTCATGCTGCCTACATCAAGTATTCAGGAGTGTTTTGTTTCAGTATTATTAATGATTGTAGTTAATGTGCGCTTTGTTTTTTTGACGTTTCCAATTTCCACATGTAGATATATATTCATATGTATGTTCAAATTTATCGCATCCGAATTTAATACTTTAATATGACATTTTGTATTTTATGTTTTAGTGAGGCTTGTTGGACTCTTCAATTGATTAATGTTCTTTTGCTAGCAAGGTTGAAGGTTTTATGCAGCAAATTAGCGAGTTTGATTGATTTATTAATAAAGTTTGGTTGCTTGAAATGTATGGTCAGGGTAAAGATCACTCTGTTTGTTATGTTTGATTGCTATCACACGGACTCCTCACATTAAGGTAAAGACTCTTGGCTCCAAATTAGGTGGGTCTTTCCTGTTTGTGTTTTCTGCTGTTAACAAAAGATGGTCTTTCTTCTTTGGAAGATTTGGCATTTGTTTTCAGAATTCTCACCAAAGATCTTTACGATATTTAATAAGGCCATGATTTTTGGGTTCTATATGTGTATCTCTATGAACTTTCTTATTTCTCTTTTGAAAATTTTTGGACATTATACTTTAACTACATGTCTCTTTCCAGTTATGATATTAAGGAATGTATGAAGAGGAGTTGCATTTTTGCTTCCCATCTGTACAATTTCATTCTTATTTGATGAAAATGACCTATTATTAGATATCTAGATCTGGGTTTGAGTTAATTGAATTTTTTTGACTTGGATTTAGGTTTTTATTGTGATATTTGTTCTTCTCATTCTTTGCATTCTCTAATATCCTGTTGTTAGTTGTTAGCCCAAAACTACTTTTTGGTTGCTGGGAAAGCAAAGAAAAATGAAAGAAAACAAAATTTGAGTATCATGCTTTTTGCTCTTTATGTCAGTAAAATTACCAGAAATAATAAAATTAGACAATTTAGAAGACACCTGAATTTCCGTGGTTCAGCGTTGAGAGAAATGTTTAGTTTTATGGTCTTATAGATGAATCAACTGAACCCATTCAGAATGATTTCCCAGGGTTTATGTTATTCACAGATGATTGATATTGTTTTAGAAAAACATTTTTTACACATACATCTTTGCAATATGTGTGCTGAGTCTTAAAAAGCTCATGGGTACTTGGTAGGTCTTACTTAAATTTTTTTTAATATGAATTCTCTCTTTCTCACATATAGTAATTTTGGAGAGTAAAATTGGTTATACAAATA